CAAGTTTACATCATATTCTTATGCATGCCAGTGCTGTGTGGGAGGTAATTTAAGGTGGTTCTGACAAGTGTCGTCGGCATCTTCATATCCAGTCAAAGGAGGCCACACCCACAGAGTAGGTTCGAACAATTTTTGAAACCCACCACTGCCCCCAACGTAGGTAAGCATAAAAACTCATCCACCTCAAACCAGAAGGAGATATGGTGGCTTTTTTTTTCAATCCAGATAAAACAAACAAGTACTGTAATTAAATTATTTTCTTATAGATAATAGCTGCTGTTCTCAGAATACTTGTTCACACGTACAATGGCTTGTTGTTGTGCAGAGACAATTACAGTAAATTATTTACTATTTTATAAGCTTTATCACATCTGGCTCTTTGTAAAGGTCAGCAACCCCTGGCATTTTATGAGCAAATGAAACTGAAAAAGTGGATAATAAGATTTGCAGAAGATTTCCTTCTTCTAAGCCACATGGTTTCCCATCATACAAATATCTGAAATTAACTTCACTCGTGCTATATTAAGCCGAAGCAGAAGAGAATCGGATGTTTCCTTTTTCAACAGTTAACATATTGTTCAACTAGTCAAAATGTCGATGCAAATTAGAGGCTGTCTTTGCATCAGAAAGCATTGGACTTGATGGCAATAAATGGTCAAAATGTTGGCGTATCTGAAGACTTCTGTGCAGTGATTCAGTTGGTGTCATTTTAAATTCTGGAAAGAATACAGGTAGTCCTTGACTTGCAAACAGTTTGTTTAGTGACCGTTCAAAGTTATAACCGCACTGAAAAAAAAGTGATGAAATTCAGCAGATTCTGAACATCACATAAAACATTTTTAAAAAAAGAACTTTTAGATGACGTTTCCCATTGGATAAAATGATTCTTTTCCCAGTTTGAACAACTAAGTTGGCCTCTGCTTTCTCCTTTATAGGTCATCACTTATATCTTGAATTTTCTACCTATCTCTGACCGAAAAGAGGCGTCTTTGGTTGACCGAACCTGGTATTTTGCAGCCCAAGACTCTCTGCGACAGGTAAAACCTTTGTGGGCTTCAACACACTCGCCTACGCTTTCTATTCCTTCTAAAGGCAATCCCTTTTTTGGAAAATCTCACTTGTATCAGGATTGGGCATTTTTTTAACTGATTTGGGAGCATCATGCCAGCCTTCTAATTTGCCAGTGACTGTATGCAGGGGCGGGCTGCTGGATCTCTAGCTAAGATTCTGTGCAGTTTGTAGAACCCCCAAATCCCACTTTTTGGCTGGCCCTGCCCATCTTGCCCCGCCTCTCCCAGGAATCCCCACTCGGCCTGTTTGGGATGCCGGTAAGTGCAGGGCGCACACAGAGGCTCGGGGAGGGCAAAAAACAGGCCTACCAGAAATTCAGGAAGGCTGGAAATGGGCCTCCGGAGCCTGGGGAAGCTGTTTTTGCCCTCCCGGAGGCTCAAGGAAAGCCTCCGGAGCCCGGGGAGGGCAAAAACACCCACCACCACCGCGCCGTGATGCAGTAGGCTGACTAGGCCACGCCCACCAGGGTCATGTCCACACAGCAACCAGGCAGAGAACCCCTTGCTAAAATTTTTGAAGCCCACCCCTGTGACGGGTGTTAATATGCATATCCACATATGTTAATCTGTTACGTTACAGCGGGGAAGCTTGGCTCGTTTTACATGATTGTGAAGAATGGGAATAAGAGTGTTTCACTTCCCAGATCTCCTTTTCAAACTCCCCTCTTTAAAAGAAGGGGATCCAAAAACCACCCTACTTCCTCTATAAAACGTTACTCCAAACATCAAAAAGATATTGGCAATCGATTCGGAAGTATGGTATATCAAATTCGTGACCCGTCAAAACCGCGGAGGACAAAATCGCGCTCGACGAAAGCGCGCATTTGACGTCATCACAGCGCGACGAAA